TTTACAAATTCTTTTATTTGATGCTTTTTGGAATAAGAGTTATTTAATTAAGCGTCTAACACTATTATGTACTCAACAAATTTAGTACGTCCATCATTATTATGGTTATTAATAAACATCAGTTATGTATTCCTAAACCAACAGCTATGTTTTTGTGAATGTGTGTGTGTGTGTGTGTGTCAATGTTAAAAAAAACCTATCGACTATTATAAATATTATTGACTATACGATAAATTTGTATACACTTTTTTTAATAAAAAACATACCTACTAATTTTAAATCATGATATCTTTAAAACATACTTGACACGTGTTTCACGAAGTATAAATTAACGAGAAGTTACTTGAGTTTCTTAAAAAATCTTGAAAACCTACAAAGGGTTCATGCCAGTATTGAAGCATGTATTAATTTTCGTGTACTTTTTAGCAATGGCAATTGCTTACGGGATTTAAAAATCACATTTGAAAATGTTTATAGTGTTTTGACACGTGAATTCTTTTTAAAATCGTTATTGCATAATAGTATCGAAAAATAATATGTAATATTTTATGTTTGAATTGTTAAAAATAATTTTGTTGACCAAAAACAGTTTAAGTGTATTTTAAAAACTCATAACACCAAGTTGTCAAATATTCGTGTGAAAAATTGTTTAGAATTAAAAAAGGTTTTCATAATCATTTTAATTCAGACAGAGAGTTATACACACAGAATCAGATTATGAGTCTACTGTAAAGCCTTATTTTTCAAGGCTTACTTCATTTTTATTACATTAATCATCATACCTCTGAAGTGTGTCCATCTCATCAAATATGCATTATTTAAGAGATTGAAAGGTATTAACTGTCAAATGAAATAAAGAATGTTAATTTGTGTTGGCTAAGAGCACATCTATACATTCCCACAGGTTACACATGTATACAGATATATAATATTTTAACGCTCTTTCGTTTGTAAAACAAAATGAGTAAATATAGGTATTAAGAGTAAGGGTATGCAGCAATGCGTTGATTTTGAAATCCACTTTTCGTATTATGAATAAGTACAGTAATTATTTTTCATTATTTCCTATCCTCATATATTTTATACCATTCTTGTAAATAATTGAATGATTTATTCTTTAAAAAAAATGAGAATAACTCAACCAGAAAGTGTTGATGCAAAGCTTCGGAGCAGAAAGTAGTTATATTTCTTACTATGTAATAAAATGAGACTCAACAATTTGTCATTTAATACGAATTTCAGATGCATAAAGACTTTTAAAATAGGAATACTTCATGTGCAACTTGCTTTTNGCACAATCTGCACCAACTTATCACCAACTTATTTTTGGCTACAAATGTAAGCCAGGGAAAACAGCTCTGAGGAGCACGGGCAGCCACAACGGCTACCTTCTTAGTCGTCGCATCCCCAATGCGCTTACCCGAAAGGTATTACAGTGTTTGATACCAATTTAACAACGATAAAACTCCCAAGAGTCCGAAAATATAAAAAATTATTATTTTATTCATAGGTGTAATAAAAAGTATTATTTGTGAAAAAGTTGAAAAACTGAAAACAGTTGTCTGTGCCAATGCACTTTTTGTTTTACTCGCATTCCTCAACGTACGTGTGGCATAATAAATCAACATAGCTAATAAAATTAAAGAAAAAAAAAAAAGAAAAAGAAAAAGAAAGTGTAGTATCTGAGAAGAGCGTCCTGCGTTCAAAATTATTGTTAATTTAACGAAAAACTAAACAGCACTTGAGTGTCAATTAATTGTTGGAGTTAACAATCGCCTTTTCAATTTTATGGGTAGAAAATATTAAAGTAAATTATCGATATTCCAAGTTTTACTTCTTTATTTGGTTTCTTTGACGCAACTGCTTGAATGATTACTGGACACTTTGATGGCGTTAGCATAGTTTAAAAAAAAAAAAATTATAGTTTCAAAGCTATACTTAGCTTGACCAAAAAATGCTTAATGTGCATAGAAAAAGATCTATGATAAACTTAGTTAGCCATTCGCAAGATATGTTAATTTGAAAATATAAATCTAACCTTTTATAAATAAAAATTTAAAAATGTATTCATTAAAGAAAAATCTTTCTACAACGTTAAGTGCTATCCATGTCATGTCTCTAATCTCATGAAAGAAACCACGACTATGAATTAGTGAGTGAATATTTTTAATAAATGGAACATCAAATGATTAAAAATCTAGTTGTATTTTTATTTCAACCTTACGACTCTGACCTAAATTCTGTAAATGTCAAGTGTTAGTATGTGTTAGTATTATGTTAAAAAATTTTTTGAAGAAACAATTAAGAAACATTTTCTGCAAAAATGTGAAACAACATTTTGTGTGACACTTGAACGATGCAATACTTACAAATGATATCCTGCAGCTCCAGTGTATATTTTATGTTGTTAAGGGGTAAGAAAATAGAACAAATTCGTTATTTACAACACCGTCGTTTATTGCAGTTCTTGGCCGACGAAACTTCGTTTACAGTCTCCGTGCACGTACGTTGGCGCTGCTTAAAATCTGTTCGCAACATGCATACACTTGATCAGACTCTCTCTCAATTTCTCCTCAATACATTTTTGCTCATTCATCCTCATATATCGACTCAATCATTTTCACGTTTAATATAATTATGTATAATTTTTGTGTTACTATTTACATGTAAGTGAACGCAGTTTATTTTAAAAATGTACGTTCCCTCGTTTCTTACAAATTAATTTCATCAGGTAGATAATAGTTATCATAGGAGCTAGACGCAAACGTTTTCACTGGGAAAATGATCTCGCAATGTTTATTTTTTCCCCGCTCACTCCTGAGCAATATTAGTTCACTAAAAATTAATGTGTCATATTCAACGCTTATATTACATTGATTTTTAGTAATCAATCGCTCCGAGCGCGCACACGTTACGCCAGTGAATCTTTCAAATCTTATCTATAATCACATTGTTTTCGTGTCGTCCAACGTGTTGCGATTATCGATGATCCCTGTTTCAATTTTTTCGTCATTCTTTCATTTTCAAACGGATCCCTAATCCTTTTTATTTACAACAAATGCATACACATCTTAAAAAATTTTTAATTCATACCACATCGTACTCACTCACTCACTCACTCACTCACAACTAGATCACATTCGATGATCTTCGTAATCTTTTAATCGCAGTTCAAGTCTTGTAATATCGTTTATTACAGCTCGAGCATTCGCTTTGCAGTCTATCAGTCCTCCAGTTCTGACTGTTTACTCCCTTTCGCATTTTATTATTCCACATATTTTTTTCATTTATTATGCTTCATCTGTTTACGTTGAATTTTTTTGTTTTGTTTTATGTAATTGATAAATGTCTACTCGCTACGACTCGAGTCGATTTGACTCGACACATTGATTTAGACAAATTGAAAGTTTAGATAAAATGTACAAGACATAAATTCTCTTTTTTTTTTTTTTTTCTTTTTTTTTGCTTTTTTCTTTTCTTTTGTATTTCTGTGAAGAAAAGCTTCGTATCGCGATTTTTTCGTCTATTTTTTAGTGATTGATGTACTTAAAGGGATGAAAATATAAACAAAATTCCACCCTTTTACTTTTTAACGAGTATCAAACTCTCACTTATTGTATCAAGTATACGCGCGTATCAATAATAGTACGCAGAAAGGAATTTTTTATCATGCACGCATTATTTCAAGGATAATACTATATTTTATGAGAAATGACAGAGTACTTACTTCGTGACAATGCCATGCTCAGTTTGTTTGTGACTTTACATTTTTGTGTAAATGTAAAAAAAGTAAGAAAACTCCCATTACTGTTCCGTTTTGTTATCCGCTTATTTTTTGTAAAGTTATTTTATTTTTTTTATGAATTATCGTTGAATTTCAAAGCCGAATACCAAGATGCCGAGTAATACATTTGGAAAAAAAGTATAAAAGCATTGTTTCATTTCTCGGGTCAGGACGGCTGTGCAGCCAATTGGCCTTCCCCATTTATCTCTAAATTTTGGTACAGTCTCCTAGTTTCGTGGAACAATAAAGCTAGTTGATTATTGTTATAATGATTTAAAAAATAAAAGAAATTGTAATGTTGATTTTTCCTGGTGAGAAAGTTGTATTCGAAATTTAGAATTCAAGTGATTAAATGTTTTTTAAAATTAATTTTTCATCAACGAAATTTCATACATCAAATTAAAACGCTCTATTTTTACAATTAACAATGATGAATAACGTACTTAAAAAGTTCTTTGTTCGAATATAAAATGAATTATTTACACGTTAAAGCTGACAAAATGTTGAAAAATGCAATTAATAGTGAATGGGCGATTGTTCGGCAGATTATCTTTAGTTTCGATCAATTACTTCATAGCTGTAATTTAAAAATTTTTTTTATTTAAAAGTACTTGATTTGAGGTAAAGTTTAAGCCCCGGTAGATTAAAAATAATGCTTGTATTATAAAGTAATACTCGGTTGAAAATCCCAAATAAGTAATTTTTCAAATTTACTTGCATCTTTGAAGAATTTTTTTTAACATGAGCCAATGATTGTTAAAAAATGGTTTCAAACTGAACTTTTAAAAAAAAATTATTAA